CAATCGTCTTAGAGAGAGATTAGAATGAGAGTGTGAAATGGTAAAAAAGGGAAAATAGGAGTTTATATAGGCTGCATGGGTCATGCCCCTTTTGGGCGTCACATGTCACGCCTGGTTTAGGCGTGACCCACCAGGCAGTGACGCCCTCTTTGGGCGTGACATGTGACGCCCAAAAGGGGCGTGACATTGTGCAATAAATGCGTAAATTTTCTCAAAACATCCATAAATTTGTAATTTTTTATTTAAAATGCAATAAATTATTTTTTTTTGCCCATCATCAATGTATTTGTTTATATGAATGCACATGTATGCATCTATACTATCTCACTGTCAATCATATATACAATTTAACCATCGTCCTTAATAGACTATGGTGGAACAACAAGAACGGAGAAAATTCCAAAACCAAGAGCTTACCTGTAAAAGATCAAATCCAATGTTTACTTGTATCCCGTTCTTTAACCTATTGTATCACCCAAATTATAATTAATACCAATTCACCACACAAGTCAAGGACAACTATCCCATGTTTTCATATTTATTACATATTACTATTTTCACATGAATAGTAGGTAAAACAAGGTTTTTAATACCTTAAGCCTACATATAAGACCCAAATAGGACCTCACTTATTTTCTTTGTTTAAATACTAACCAATCATCATTAAATATCCTATGGATCATTATTTTACATAGCCAATGAATTAAACTCTTAAATTGCACAATTATTTCAATATGGCCGAAATGCACACAAAATTTTCAACATTGACATCCTGTACCATTTTAATCACGAAATCTTCATTTTTTATCCAATTGATCTGAATTTTTGATATGTTATATTAAACACATGTAACTTTAATTTACAACAAACTATGCTTCATTTGGAGTCTTATAGATTCAGATATGATTTTTTAAAATGATAGCTAAAAATTAACATATAACCAAGTTCATGCATCATTTTCACTTCTTTTGATTTTTCCACCACTTGAATCTTAAATCCAATAATACCATGACTTCAATTTCACTTTGAAATTATTACATAAACATGGTGCACCCTATTTAACACTATATGGCCGATTGGTTCATTGAAGAATCACTAATCTCACATGCTTGCTTTTAATCTTTTCTATGCATAGTTTCACATAGATTTAATAAACAACCTCAAAACCAATAAAAACCACATGAAACAACATCAATTAACCAAGATATTATCAAACCCTAACCCATCATAAAACACTTAATAAAATAACTTCCAACCATCAAAATTTAGATGTAATACCTTATTAAGCTTAATTGTGAACTAGGCAACACTTTCCATCCAAATACTTGTCAAATTCCTAACTTTCTCTCTCTAGATGAACAGTACCAGCCCTCTTTGAATGAGTGTTTCTCTCACTACAAGGCTCCTCAAGAAGAAAAGAAAGAGGATTTAGGTTCACAAGACCAAAAGCTATAACTTTTGTGTAATAGGTTTTATCTAAAAATGCCTAGAACCACTTGAACTCTCTTGCTCTTTCTCTCATCATGCTCACGGCCTCAAGGAGAAAGGAAGAAGAAGAAGTGTTCGTCGGATACTTGGAAGAAGAAAGATGACTACTTAAGTCTTGAAAAATATCTTAAAAGTTAGCTTACTTTAACATTTTCCAACTTTGCAACTTGCTAAAATCCTATTGGTTCTTTAATTTCCCACACACCTTGTCATCATCTTACACAAGATTCTAGAATCCTTCCAAGTCACTTAGCCACCTCACATGTAGAAAATGACTAAGCTTTCTTACTTAGACACTTTAACACCTTTAGACTTTCAAACTTTTCATTCATTGGTCCATTTGTTCAAGACTAGTCAACCTTGATTCTTATTGGTTGGTCAACACTAGACTTTGACCTTTAAGAATATATAACATACAAGGTTACAAAGAATTAATGATACATAAAAAATCACGCAAAGAATTCACAAAGTTAAATTATGTTACTAACTTAACAACTTTGTATTCACCTTAGACCTAAACCAATTTTCATTGGTTTATTAATTTTCATTACTTTGACATATTTTTAGAAATTAATTTAGACATTGTTTGATCACAATAAGATCACTTTAAAGCCATGAAATTAACTATAGAATTTAATTACATCATTAAAATCAACCTTTGACTTAACCTTGGTCAATTACCAAAGTAATCATGGCTTTTCACGTAATGACATCTATGTCCCCACATATACCTTATACTTATTTTAGGGTGCTATTAGACTTGTTTGGCATGAACTATATTCTTAACTTATTTATCATGTCAATTACATGATTTACCGTTTACCGTTAGTTAATCCACTATCATCTAATTGACAGTGAAGGTTGTTATAGCCTAGGACCACCTTCTCCAATTCTTCTTCAGTGAAGAATAACCTCAGGGGACATGGCTTGTTCCCCCTTTCTTTAAAAACGGGTCTGTTTTTGATTGACATGACCTCTTTAGGGTATTTTCTTCTGATCAATGTAACCCTTTGAAGGCTTGTTGAGAGAGCTCCAATGGGTCAAAGGTGAAGCTAGGGTCTAGTAAAGAGATCACTGGATCCGGTTGGTCCCTGCACTACTTCAGTGGCTCAGAGACAGTGGAAAGTAGCGACACAAAGAGTTGCTGCGAGAGCAGAGCCACAACATCGTCCATATCTATTCTATCTTAGTTCTATGGAGTCTTTATCTTTCTTGGATGTTTCTTTTTATTCAAGTATGAGCTAAATTGTCTAGGATGGGTGAAAGAGTACCCGTGTTGTGATGTAACCATGTTTGCCTAAGCTTTTCTATGCAATTTTCCATTAAGTTGTTTAATAAAATATTTAAATTGTCTCAAACTTGTTGACTTATCGAGAAAAAGATGCAAGTGTTATGAGATTTGGGCTATAGAGAGATCATTCACACATGCCATAACATACACAAAACAGTCAAGTTAGTTCTAGTTCAAAATTTTGAGAGTCATCCAATTTTTATTCTTGTAAAAACCAAATAAAATATTATTCGTTCATAAAGTTCACCCCATTGAAGCACGTTGCGGGGTCATTAAGAGAGAGATAAAAGAATATATTCTTCTTGTATTGTAGTACCACTTGAAGCTTTGTACATGCCTCTATTTATAAGCTCACAAGACAAGGTATGTTACAATAGGATAAATGACCAGAATTACACTTCTTCGTTGATTACAATTTGAGATTGAATATCCATCAGTCATATTATTCTCGGGTAATGAACATCCGACAATCATATTATTTATTACAAATTAGACAACTTTAGAGAGAAAAAAATAATTTTTAGAAAGAGAAAATAATTTTTTAGAGGAAGAATCATTTTTTAATTGTAAAAATTATATAAATAATTTTTTTAAATTTAAATTTAATTTAATTTGTAAAATATAATAATTATATTATTTTTTAAAATAAAATAAATTGTAAAAATATCTAATTAACTCTTTATTTTTCTCTCTTATCATATTTTTTACTATCAAACAAGAGAAGATAATAATACCATTTATGTTCTTTCACTTCTTTCCCCTTGAATTCCTTTATTTTTGTTCCCTTCTTAATTCCCAAACACACCATTAGGTGGTGTTTGGTATGTGGGTTTATTTTGGAATCCTGGGAAAGTGATATTGGGATTGTTATTTTCCCACATTTGGTATAAGGAAGTGTAAATTTTTTTTTCAGGAAAATTGGATTCCCGGGATTTCAATTTGTGAAGCAGAATCCCATGTAAAAATATCACCTCAAGGGTCGTATTTTCGGAATCCCACCCGGTGGGAATATTTGCAAATTATTTTGGACAAAATTACCCAGTTGTCTTCATCCTCTCCCTGTCGTGCAAACGCATGAAGATTTCCCTATACACCATCTCATCTGCATAATCAAAAGATTCAAAATAATAATAACTTATTCCCTTACCCTTCTTTTTATTTCTTTTGAGTTTTTAGTTTCGCAAAGTACAACTTTCACAATAACATCCCCTCAAAGCATGTCTTTAGTTTCTCTTGAAGGTTTTTGTTGCTGAAACGAACTAGGCAGACATTATTGCATAGTAATAACTTTCGGAGTGGAATGCCTGATTTGGTTTGGTGGGTCAATTTCAAGTTTGGTTTTTTTTTTTTTATCTAATCAATCGAGAAGTTAGACGGTGCAGACCGCAGAAAGAGAGAAGAGACTGAGGGGGTTGATTGGTGGGAAGGTTATTTTTGTAAAATTATCCCATATTCATAACAATATTTTATAATCAATCATCAAACATAGCATCCGAAAAATTAATCCAATATTTTTGAGAATATTTTGTCCTACCAACAACTTTTTGATAAAATTCTTGAGAAACTTACTTTCTCATCATAATTTTGGATAAAAATTATTTCTCCTTTGCCAAATACCCCTGAACCGTTTAATAGTGATAATTATTTCTTTTTTTTTTGACAAATATTTTTACCATGTCCGTCATTGTGCGAAACCAACCAGGTGAATTACCAAATCACTCAATTGTTTTAGTAAAGAACCGAAAAGGGAATCTAGGTAAAAATTGTTTCTCCTCTATCAAACACCCCTTAACCGTTTAATAGTGATAATTATTTCTTTTTTTTTTTGACAAATATTTTCAGGGAAAAGTATTTCTCCAGTCAACCGGAAATAAAATTAACTCGAATGAGCTCAAAACGACGTTATTTTGAGATTATTAGATTAAAAAATTATAATAATAAAAATTAATATAACCTTACAATATATTATAATTATAAAAATACTTTAATTTCTGTCCCAAAACGACATCATTTTGTACTCGTTCATATAACTTATCTCCGTTTGCCTATATATTATTACCATGTTCGTCATTGCGCGAAACCAACCGGGTGAATTACCAAATCACTCAATTGTTTTAGTAAAGACCCGAAAAGGGAATCCAGGTTAGAACCGAAACCGGTTTGAAAAATTGTAGCAACAGAAGAAGACGCAGGTTTATGAAGGGTTTAAAGGCGGCTGCTACTACCCACAAGGCCACAACTGAAGTTTCGATTGGTGGCTTCCATCACCAAAATGTGGACCAAATTAGCCAAGCGAGCTTCCTCAAGGAAGTTCAATCTATCCACTGAATCCTTCTACTTTTCTTCTTCTTCTTCTTCTACTTCCCAGAGATATTCTCAGCGCCCGGATTTTCCCGAGAAAACAGGGCCCCTCGAGACCCAAACAAGGGTGAAATCGAGGTACCCATTTCTGGGTTTCAATCAAGTTGGTGTTTTTACTTCGAAAAACGAACTGGGTCGATCCAAGTTTTTGTTTTCTGAAGACCCCTCTTTTGATTTTTCTTTGTCTTTGACATTCAGTAGAGGTCATGCTAGTGTTGCTGAGGCTATTGAATCCACTGATACTGAAGATGATTATTCTGGGTCTGATGAGGTTCACAAATTGTTAGAGGAAATGGTGAAAGAAGAAAAGGGAAAATCTCAATTGGAACACCAAAAGAACATAGGTGGAGGCATGGCTAGCTACAAATACAAGATGCTTCGGAGGAGGCAGATAAAGATGGAGACTGAGGCATGGGAAGAGGCAGCAAGAGAGTATCAGGAACTGTTGGAGGACATGCGTGAGCAGAAGCTTGCACCCAATTTACCTTATATGAAGTCATTGTTCCTTGGTTGGTTTGAACCTTTAATGAATGCAATTGCTTCGGATCAAGAGCTTTGCAAAGACAGCAAGCAGAGGTCATCCCATGCTCCTTATTTCAATGAGTTGCCTGCAGACATGATGGCTGTGATTACGATGCATAAGTTGATGGGGTTGTTGATGACCAATAGTAATGGAGTAGGTACTGCAAGAGTGATCCAAGCTGCTTGTCAAATAGGTGAAGCCATTGAACACGAGGTAAATTATACTTTTATATGATATATGTAAATCGAAGAAGATAAATGATTTTGTTATCTGAACTCAAACATCTACTTTCTGCTCTGAGATTTTGTGTTCTATATAATTATTTTATGCTTTTATATTCTATATAATAATTTTCTTCGGTCATTTGCCTTATATTGCTAACATGACTGGGTGAACTTTGAAGGCCTTTTTTCTGTAGAGAAAAAAAATAAATTAAGCTAATTTTTAAGTATCCTTTCTATAATCTAACATGATACGCATGGTGTTTCTTCCCTAGTGTCTATCACTCAAATGCCTACAGCCAGTTGAATTTATGTTCAGTAAATAATGTGGTCAATTCCAGTTTTGTTGTTCAAGTGAGATGTCACTATTGTAAATTCACAATATTCAAGTGTTCATTAGCTGAAATCCTACCCTTATATGTCGATCAGGCTAGGGTATACCGATTTATGGAGAAGACAAAGAAGACGAAGGAGAAGAGAACACCTGTTGGGAAGCCTGATGGAGATTCTGATCTTGCACCTGTAAAAGAAGGCAAACTGACTGAAGAGAAAGAGAGAATGGTTAAAGAGCAGAAGAGACTTAGGAAAAAAGTTGCCAGTTTAATAAAGAAGCAGAAAAAGCAACAAGCCATGGGAATAGTTCGGGGACAAGATGATTGGAAACCATGGGGTCAGGAAGCTCAAGTAAAGGTTTGTAATGTTTATATTGTACCTACGAACAAGGAAGGTTCTTCTTTTCGTGTTTCAATGTAGTTATTTGTCTTCCAGGTTGGCTCTCGTTTGATGCAAATGTTAATAGAAACAGCCTACATACAACCACCTGCCAATCAATTTGGAGATGATCCACCAGATATACACCCTGCATTTAAGCATACTCTTAAAACAGTTTCAACTGATACACAGGGAAGTAGGAGATACGGTGTTATTGAATGTGACCCTCTGGTGCAAAAGGGCCTTGAAAAGACTGTAAGTGATCTTTTATCCTCTAGGGATTATTTGTACTTGAAGTCATGTCCAGATTTCTTTAAGTAGGTTATTAGACAGATTTGTTATGGTTTTTATCTGCAATAATACATTTGCTTTCTCATTCATAAATTCATGAGACTGATGCTAACATCAAAATGTGTTGCCATTAACAGGCCAGGCACATGGTCATCCCCTACATGCCAATGTTGGTGCCACCTACTAACTGGACAGGGTACTGCACATATTTATACAAATAATTTTTCTTTTTAATTTGTTTTTCATTTATTATAGAGTATTGAAGTATTTTTTTATTTTTTTTCTATGTTAGCTTAGTTTATTTAAGAAGAGGGGGCGAACCGGAGCAGTGGTAAAGCTGTTCTTTCGTGACTGAAAGGTCATGGGTTCGAATCCAGGAAATAGCCTCTTTGCAATTATGCAAGGGTAAGGCTGCGTACAAGGATTGCCTCCACCTCGCACTCACTAGTCGGGTTTAACAGGGAGTGATTTTTTTTTAAGCTTTGTTTATATAAGTGGGCGAGCTTGAAGCAATGGTAAAACTTCTTCTTTGTGACTGAAAGGTCACGTATTCGAATATAAGAAGCAACCTCTTTGCAAATATGTAAGGGTAAGGCTGTGTACAAGGATTGCCCTCACTCCTACCCTCGCTAATCGGGGTTTAATAGGGAGTGGTTTTGGTTAGCTTAGTTTATTTGTATTGTATAACGGCAACAATTTTAATAGCAACATTTGTATCATAGGAAAAAGTTCAAACATCTCATTAGTTTGCAGTTCCAATGTTTTACTAAGTTTGTCTTTTCTAATCGGACCATAATGTTATTCAGCTTGGACTTAGGAGTTGTGACTAAGTTCTGCCGTTTTGCTTTCTAATTTTCAATTTTCTTAGAAATGTTGCAATATTTTGGTAGGTATGACAAAGGAGCGTACTTGTTTTTGCCATCTTACGTTATGAGAATACATGGAGCAAAGCAGCAACGTGAAGCAGTTAAAAGGGCTCCAAGGAATCAACTTGACCCGGTTTTTGAGGTTGGAATTGTTTTTTATATTTGTGCATTTGTGACTCAGTTCATTGTTCACAGTTAATACTTACTGAAAATAACTCTGGTATTGTTTTATATTTAGGCCCTTAATACCCTTGGCAATACGAAATGGAGGGTAAACAAAAAGGTGCTCAGTGTTATAGATCAAATATGGGCTAATGGAGGACGACTAGCTGACTTGGTTGATCATGGAGATGTGAGTACCAAACAAACTTTATTGCTAAATTTATTTGTTAAACTGATAAGATTTTCAACTCAGAAACAAAAAATAAAAGCGACACAAAGGAATTCCGGGATAAACCAGATTTTATATATTGAAAGTATGAAGTAAAATTACATACAGTAATGGCAGTAGTCACTAAAATAAGATGATTACAAAGTGCAGAAATGACAAGAAATCAAGAAGGTAAATGACAAAATGAAATTACAGATAATGAATGCAATTCTAGAGACTCCCTTCTCTCCCAAGTTCCTATTCGAATCCAAAATAATTGCCTGCCCTCTTCATTTCTTTCATCTCTATTTATTATCTATACCCACTTCTAGTATATTCTTTATTAACTAACCATTTTGCTGAGTCAGCATCGAGGGGTGGGAATCTCCTATAATGCTTCCTACAATACTCTTTTAGAATTGGTGTCGTATCAATACCTCCCTCACAAAGTTTCACATTTTCGTCAAGGTGAAAGCTTGCTGACCAAAATCATCCTCCAGGATCCCATTGCTTGTAGTATAGGGTCCCACTTGTGCAAGGAGCATTGTAATTTCCGCGGGGATCCCATCACTCCTCTGTAGTACTTCCCTCTTCTTTAAAAGCTTACTGAATTTGCACAAGTATTTTCACATTGTCTGCCCAAATGTCTTCCCCACTTCCAACCACAACTGCTTGGACATTTGTCTCAACCTTCCTTGGATATATAAATTCTTTTGCAATATTGAAGTCTGTTACGATTCCTACTCCAAGGTTTGGGACTTGGAGTCCCACATCGGAAACATAAGGTTCTGGTGTGCGATTTATATGGACTTTGGGCTCTCCTACCTCATGGGATAGTTTTTGGGGTGAGGCTCTTCCAAAGTTCATATCAATTGGTATAAGAGCCTTCCACTATGTCTTTCGGCTGCAATCGAGCAGTGCGGGTGGTGACGCTGGCATTGCAATGTTTGCCTAGGGCTAGTAAAAGATTAGCGCAAAGCCAGCCCGCATGGGCACCGGGGCTGCGGAGCGTGGTAGAATATTATGATCCTAGTCTAAGGTATGAGACTTACGCTAGATTGCAGTGTTCACCTAAGGCTAGTAAAAAAATAGTGAAAAGCCAGGTCCGGGTGGGCGCCGGGTTGCGGAGGTGGAATGTTATGATCCAATTGCAAGGTATGGGACTTGAGTCCTACATAGGAAACATAAAGATTTGGTGTGGGGTTTATATGCACTTTGGGCTCTCCTACCTTACGAGCTAGCTTTTGGGATGAGGTTCTCCTAAGGTTTGCATCATTTGGTATCAGAGTCTTCTACTATGTCTCCTGGTTGCAATCGAACGGCGCGGTTGGTGACGTTAGCATTGCAATGTTCACTAGCGCTAGTAAAATACTAGCGCAAAACCAGGCCCGCGTGGGCACAGGGGCTGTGGAGTATGGTGGAATGTTATGATCCAATTGTAAGGTATGGGACTTAAGTCCCACATCGAAAACATAAGGGTCTGGTGTGTTATTTATATGGACTTTGCGCTTTCCTACCTTATAAGTAGCTTTTAGAGTGAAGTTCTCCCAAGATTCGTATCAATTTGATAAGTATCAGAACCCAGAACAAAGAGAAACAAGTGAGATTGTATTGTTACAGCCGAATCCAAATCATACTCGACCATCCACGTACATGAAGTCTTGTAGAAAGGAAAAATTACAGAATTAGCATGGAAGAAAATTACAGGGAATTGCTATTACAGAATTAGCATGGAAGCAAATTACAGAATTAGTTACATATTAAATGAAATTACAGTAAGAAAAAGTAAGATAGGTTCTGAACAAATTCGAGAGTTCTGAGTTTCTCACAAGTTCCAAAATAGTCCCAATTTCCAACCTCCTTCTCATTCTTTTCCTTCTATTTATACTAAGCATTCCTGTGTTCCACGTGTGACTCCCCTTCATTGCCTCTAATAGAATTTCCCTTCCAGAATATTCTCCATCTAACTGCCTTGGTGACTCAACATGAGTGTTTTGAGTGATTGATTCTGTACATTTCTTTCTAGAATGTCCCTTAAGAAATGGTATCCTAACACTTTTGATTGGATAATTGTGTGTCTAATAGGAGCACCGAGGGAATATATTTATATTAACAAATACGGAAACTAATCTATCATATACAAGATGTGGGACTATTCTATTATATATATTTGAACTATTCTAACAACTACTCTAACACTCTCCCTCTAGCTTGTGCGTATATATTGTAAGCACCTAGCTTGTTACAAATGTATTCAACCCGAGGACCTCTAAGGGCTTTAGTGAAGACATCAGCGAGTTGATCATTGGAGTTGACAAATGCCGTTTTGATTTCTCCTGACTGAATCTTTTCTCGAATGAAGTGACAATCGATCTCTATATGTTTGGTTCTCTCATGAAATATATGATTAGATGATATATGTAGCGTAGCTTGATTGTCACAAATAAGTGTCATGAGCTATTTCTGTTCACAAAGATGGAGCTCCCGAATCAACTGCTTTGACCAGATTAGCTCGTAGGTAGCAACTCCCATCGCACGATACTCGACCTTTGCATTAGATCGGGCGACAACAATTTGTTTATTACTTTTCCAAGAAATCAGGTTTTCTCCAAGGAAAACACAATAGCCTGAAGTAGAGGGCTTATCCGAGGGTAAACCTGCCCAATCGGCATCTGAATAACCACAAATTTCTGTATTTTCCTGATCTGAATATAATAAGCCTTTCCCCGTGCTTTTTTGATGTACCGGAGGATCCTCACGGTGAGATAATTGAGCTTCCCAATCAACCTCTGATAATGTCCAGGATTAGATAATAGCTCCCCCCTGTCCGGGCAATAATTTGATAGTAGGATCCATGGGTGTATCAATTGGCTTACACCCCAACATACCGTCTCCTCTAAGATATCTAAGGCATATTTCCAAGAAGTAACGAAGCTTACCAAGATCCTTTGTTTGAAATTGACCGAACAAATACTGTTTAACTGGCGAATCCCAGCTTGATCACTCCCAGTGAGAATGATGTCATCGACATAGACTAACAAATAGATGCACTTATCAGGAGATGTGAACCTATAAAACACAGAATGATCAGCCTTGCTGCAGATTAAGCCAAAAGCCTGAACGACAGAACTGAAATGGTTGAACCACTCCCGAGGAGACTGCTTGAAGCCATATAAGGACTTACGAAGTCTGCGCACCATCCCAGACTCCCCCTGAGCAACAAAGCCAGGTGGTTGCTCCATGTAAACTTCTTCTAAATCACTATGAAGTAAAGCCTTTTTAATGTCTAGTTAAATGAGTGGCTAGTGACGAACAACAGCGAGGGGAAGAAACAGGCGGATAGACGCCATCTTAACGACAGGAGAGAACGTGTCACTATAGTCAAGACAAAAAATCTGAGTAAAACCCTTGGCGACTAAGCGCGCCTTGAAATGATTAACATGGCCATTAGGCCCAACCTTGACAGTAAAGATCCACCGATAACCAACAATAGACTTCCTCGGAGGAGCATGAACAAGATCACAGGTGCCATTGGAATGAAGAACAGTCATCTCATCAAGCATCACTTGGCGACATCCTGGATGGAAAGTGCTTCACCTATGGTCTTAGGAATAGAAACAGAAGAAAGACTAGAAACAAAGGTGAAATGAGGAATAAAAAGACGGTTATAGCTTAAAAAGGTATAAAGAGGATAAAGATTACGAGTAGTACGTATACCTCTTCTTTGGGCAATGAGAAGAGCCTCTGGTGAAGGAGCCGGAAGCGAAGAGGTGATAGGAGAAGGCGATGAGTCACCTAGGGTCAAGTCCGCAGGAGACACTTTCTGACGACGCTGATAGGTTAGAAAAGGGCAATCCCCAGGGATGGAGGCACTTTCCTTTGGGAGAGAGTCACCTGCAGCTGGTAAAGACAAGTCAAGAAAAGGAGTAGGAAGAACCTGATCAACCTGTGACAACTGAGATGGAATAGAATGAAAGGGTTGTTCATTAAGAAAAGTGACATTAACTGAAACAATATAATACTTAAGATCAGGAGAATAACAACGATAATCCTTTTAAAGACGAGAATAACTAAGAAAAATACAGTTAAAGGCTTTGGATATTAACTCGTCCTTACTAGGAGTGAGATCATAAACAAAATAGGTACAACCAAAGACATGTGGAGATAGAGGAGCATCTGGAAATAATAGATTATGGGGAATGTCATTGTTAAGCACAGAGGAAGACAAACGATTGATGAGAAAAATAAAGGCGAATGCGGTCGCCCACAAGTGAAGAGGAACTTGCATGTGAATAAGAAGGGTACGGACAATTTCAATGGGATGTCTGTTTTTACATTCGGCCACCCCATTTTGTTGTGGTGTGTGAGGACAAGTGGTCTGGTGTAAAGTACCTTGTGTAGCCAAGAAATTAGAAAAGTCAAAAGAAACATATTCCTTAGCATTACCACTACGTAAAATACGAATAGAAACACCAAATTGAGTATGAACCTTAGCAGAATTTTTTTTTATAAATGGAGAATAACTTAGAACGATTTTTCATTAAATAAATCCAAGTGCAATGGGAATAATCATCAATAAAAGTAACAATATATCGAAAACCTAAAACAGGCAAAGTACGACTTAGACCCCAAATATCTGAATGAATAAGAGAGAAAAGAGTATCAACTTGTTTATTGACTCGACTGGCAAAGGAGGAGCTTGTGTGCTTCCCTTGCTAACACAACAGACAATCTAAAGACCGAAGACCGTATAAAAGAGAAACCATCTTCTGCAATTTTGAGAGACTTGGATGATCGAGGCGACTGTGGCTAAGTTGTGGAGATTCTGTGAGAGAGCATGCCACTGAAGGACGAGGTAGAACCAGATAATAAAGCCCCCGTGACTCACGACCCACTTCAATCGTCTTCCCCGTACTCGGATTCTGCACAGAAACTGAATGGTTAGAGAAAGTAATGGTGCAAGTGAGGGAGTGGACCAATTT